ATGTTTTGCTTAGTGGCTGCTTGTTTTAACTTATTGCTTCTGAGTAAAACCATTTTCTTACACCATCACTGTCTACAAACACATTCCAGAAACCTTTCCTTTGCTCTTTCTTGTGTGTCTTTCTTGAAACAATGATATGTGGTTTTCTCTTCCTACCCAATCAAAATCTTACCATCCTTCAAGGCTTTGGGCAAATTTCTCCACAAAGCCTTCTCAGATGCTCTCAGTGCCGGGAAAAGGGCATATCCAGGTAGATCTCTAAGTCTGTTTCCTTATCTGTGAAATGGGATTTCAAATAGTCATAATGTGAACTAAAGGAAATGACGTATATAAGATGCTAATCATCACATCTAGCACATAGTGTGTTCCTCTAAAGAAAAATAATAATAGCTTTTCATTTAGATAGTGGCGGTGAGAATGAAAAAAGAGCAGAAAATCTATTAAGGACTTACATGTAGGGACAGGCCTTCGTGGTTGATTCTTTGTATGGAGTTTCAGAAAAGAGAAGGAGAGGTCAGACACTTAGGTCTCTAATTTTTGAGCAAGAGAAATGAAAGCACTCATGGAGTTAAGTAAAAGAGTTTTAATTTTTTGTTTGTTTTTGGGGGAGTTGTGGGTTTTCGTGTGGGTTTTTTTTTGTTGTTGTTGTTTTTTGCTTTGTTTGAATGAAGTGTCACATCATAGATATGGCACTTGGTCCTGGGCATGTGGAATTTAACAAGTTCTTGGGACACCCAAAGGCAGATATCCAAAGACTGTTGACTCTCTGAGTCTGGAACTGAGGAGAGAGATCTTTGAGTGTCTTTTGTTTTGTTTGCTTTTGTTTTTTTTGTTTTGTTTTGTTTTTGTCATCAGCCTAAGTAATCCTTCAACTCTTTTGAAAGATTTATAATTTACCTGTGGTTTAGACTCTAGAGTCTGACCTTCCTTTTATTTTTATTCACTCAACACATAACAAACACCTATATGTGTTGGGGATTATACATGATGCTAGGGAAACACTATGCAAAACGGACATGGTCCTCAGCCTTGCGATGCTCAGCTGAAAGGAACACTAAAATGAGCCCAAATTCAGCATTTGTAGTTCTTGAGAAGTAAAGCTTTGTGAATGCAGAAGAGTAGCATATGTATTTTAAAAATCTTCATAGTATTTTTTTTTCCTTTTCTGGGTTTTAACTTTTACTAATATAGAAAAAAACTTCACTTACATCATATAATGCTTCTTGCTTTCAATTCTACATTGTTTTATAACATTGCTACAAAAATATCATTACCTAAAATTTCCCCCCATTGCTGGATTTTTAACTCTTCTAACTTTTTATAATTTACTTAAAATTTTTTTAACTGAGCTTAAAATAACTCTCATATTATAAAATGTACTATCTTAACCATTTTTAATTTGCAGTTCAATAGTGTTAACTATATTCACATTGTTGTAAAATAGATCTCTAAAACGTTTTCATCTTGTAAAACTAACACTCTGTACTCATTGAATAACAATTCCCTATTTCCCACTCACCCCAGCCCCTGGCAACCACAATTCTACTTTTTGCTTCTATGAGTTTGACTCCGCTAGATACCTCACATAAGTGAAATCACAGAGTATTGTTCTTTTTATCCCTAGCTTATTTCACTTAGCATAATGTCCTCAAGGTTCACACATGTTGAGCATGTGACGGGATTTCTTTCCTTTTTAAGGCTGAATAATATTCCATTGTGTGTATACACCACATTTTCTTTATCCATTTGTCCATCCTTCAATGGACATTTGGGTTGTAGAAGCTGTTGTGAATAATATGAATGTGAATACCGCTTGGCTATTGTGAATAGTGCTGCAATGAACATGGATGTGCCTCCAGAGTACTTTGATTCCAGATGTAGACACTAATCCATCCCCATGCCTGAAAATGGTTCTTGACTATAACTAAGAACTTCAGGCTTCAGCTGGCAAGTGGGGAATGTTGGGCCAGTTCTGATTAGAATCCCATTTCTGGATATCCAGGCAGCAACCAGGTGAAGGAGAAATAGCCTGAATCACTCAGAGCAGAGTTTCCTGTGTGAAAGATTGTATGCCTACTATGTGCAAGACCCCAGGCTAGGCACTTTCATGTGTGTGAAGGGGAAAATATGGGAGGCTTCTTGAATTAATAAAATCATGACAGTAAAGATAATTTTTTTTTTCAAATTCCCATGATCATGTATAAACAGTAATAAAAACAGTGATCACTAATGTCAGGAAGAGGTCCAGCAGGGCAGGATATCGAGGATATCAGAAACTTAGCATGGAAGGGGCTTGTGTTATTTGAATGATGAGAATGTGTTATTTGTGTTAATTGTGAAATGAATATATTCAAAATTCAAACATAATACAAACTACTGAAATTTAAGCTTAACATTTTCCCCCAACTACTGGCGTTTGTGTTAGGATAATAAGGAAAATGGGTCTGTGTGGCTGATGTGACAGAGACTAATCTCAAAGGGTACAAAATCCTCTGCCAGGGTTCTAAGCTGATACTCCTTACTTCCTAGGTTGCTGTTTAAATAAATCTTTTCTGCTGAAAGCTAGTCTTTAAAGAACGATAATTTCACTTGAGAGCTACAAGTCATGCCTGTAGACGACATTTCCAATAAAATCAATTCATACACAAAAGTCAAAACCAACTTTGAGCTTCACTGAGGACTAGGAAGTATGCCTTGAAGGAGAAGAAACAAAACATTGAAAACTTGAACCACTTAAACTGACTTTCACTGATTTCTCTTAGTTCATCATTTCAGTCCTTAGAGAAGGGGAGAAGGATTATTGCAGTCTCAACTAACAGGTATCATTTTACTGGAGCTACTTCACTTGTAACCATAGCAAATGTGATTGTTTTACGGTACAGGGAAGCAGAAAAGGCACTGGCCTGAGTGTCAGAGATGAGTTCTAGTTCCAGCTTGGCTACGAACTAGGTTGGGTGGCTTTAGACATGATCCTTCCTCTCTTGACTATTGCTTACCTACTGCAAATCTCCACACCACTTGGACTAGAAGTTCCATTCCTTTTAGCTCTAATATTCTGTGAATTAATATCACTTGACCCTATATCCATTCTACTTTTTATTTGGCATTTGTTCATTTGACACATATATACATATATAAAAATCTGTACATGGAAAAAATACAAAATAAGTATTTCTTTATAAGTTATGCAATCAAACAACTACCTTTTTTAAAGTTTAAAAACCATTGCAAAAAAAAGAGAAGGAAATCTAGTCAGTCATTTACAGTCCTTCACAATAACCTTGGTATAAAATATCCATACAACTCAAGTGTACAGAATAGTGTACAGTTCATAAAAGCTGTGCAAAGACAGCAAAGTTCAGTAAAAAAAAAAAAAAATCAAAGAGGCTTATGGATCTCTCTCTGTTCACATCATGCCCAGTGCTCAGGAGCTTTGCAGGTCAGCAAAACCTCGCCCGAAATAGTAAAGGGGCACAAGGTAGAGTGCTTGGTGCATATATCATGGAAGCAGAAATTATAAAGAAAAAGCTTTAACAGACACATACAGAAATAGAGACCGACACTTCCTCCCATTTAGAGAACTCACTTTTTTGCTCAGAGAGCATTTAAAATATGACAGAAAAGACTCAATGTTTATGTGTACCTTAGACCATAAGGCACAGATAGACATTCTTCCTTTTTTGAAATTCTTGAGCTTTCTAAGGGCTCTGCTATGGGAAGACTGAGTTACCAGAGTCTGGAGCTGGATAGGAGGCCGTTGCTACCTAAGATAGGGAGGTGGAAGAATCCAGGAAGTCAGGAGTCTTGGAGTCACAGACTCGATGTTGTGGCTCCTAACTCGATGTTATGTTTTCCTCCTCCATACGGGATTTCCTGACTTACTGGTTTATCGCTGCTAAGGAGCCGCAGCGCCTGGCTCACAGGCGGTGGGAGCGCACACCCAACTGTGTTTAAAATAGCTAGCAAAAACCCAAGAGGGACAGGAGCCGTTGTGAAAAAGTTAACACTGGGACCAAACCTAAATTTAACTTATGTGGAGAGGGCTGTTGGCAGGTGGACGGAAATGTCACTTTGGGCAATGGAAGGTGACGATTGGACAGCGGGGAGCAGCAGCGTCCGGACAGCCGGGACTAAGTGAACACGCAGACTGAATCCCACCTCTTCAATTTCAAAGCACTTAGAAACAGTACCCCAGGCGCCGGGGGCGCTTCTAAGACACCGTGATCTCCTCCTCCTCGCCCTCCTCATCCTCCTCGGAGTCGGAGAAGTCCGAAGGTTTGCCGGGGCTGCTCGAATGCGCGGGCGAAGCCCCTTCGAGCCGCGAATCCCGCGGGTGCCGAGGGTTGGGGGATGCATGATAAGCCAGGCGGTGGCGGGGGCTGCCCAGGCCCTCGTCTTCCTCGTCGTTTTCCCCGGGGCCCTTCTGGCCCACGTCGCTGAGGTCCGGGTGCGGATTGAGTTTGGTGGGAAGGGTCTGCTCGCGGCAGCCCCCGCTAGACAGGAGCTCGCGCTCCTTGGAGTTCCTCCACTTCATGCGTCGGTTCTGGAACCAGATTTTCACCTAGTGCGCGCGGGGCAGAGAGAGCAGGGGAGAAACTGAGGTTAGCGCAGACCCTCCCCAAAGATGGCGTGGGGCAGGGGCGTCGGCAGGATGTCGCACGTGGGAAGGGGGCTCTGTCTTTCCCCTTCTTGCCCGCTCCCCATCCCCCGGTGTGAATTTAGGTGGATCTCGGCATTTACCCTACCCTCAACCCCCACCTCCGCTCCAAGCGCCTCTTGCCACATCATCTGGTACCTGGCCCAGAAACGCGGGAGTGGGGGCGCTGAGCCCAGGAGAAGTGGGCTGTCCTGAGCAGCCTCGAGGAATCTGACTCGGGCACTCGTTCACTCCTTAGACCTTACTTTCCCCATCTGTACGATGGGACCTAAGCGGTTTCAGAGAACCCTCCCGATTGCACAACTCGTGGAGGAGGAGTGACGCCTGGCGGGAGAGGCTGTGGGGAGACTGCCCTCACTTGTGAGTCTTTCAAGCCCAATTTAGCCGCCAGCTTCTTGCGGTCGGGCTTGCTGATGTACTTCTGCTTCTGGAACATCTTCTCCAGCGCCTTGCGCTGCACGTCGGAGAACACGGCTCGACGCAGCATGCCCCGGCGAGGCTTGCCGCGGGCGGCCAGCGGCCAGGAGAAGGTCCCCGGGATAGGCACGACACTTGAGGACGCTGCAGAGGGGTGGGGGTTGGAGGTTGCGAATGAGGTGGTAGCGTCAGCCTCCCCAGCTCCACCTCCCTCGGTTTTTCTCTCTGATCCCTTCATCTTTAAAGCTCTCCTTTTTCTCCCCCTGGAGAATAGGCCACGAACCTACAAACCTGCGAGAGTGAAAGGCGCTTTCCACCCAAATAACTTCCCTTTCAACCGTGCAAACCCGGATTAGGTAAAAGCACAGAAACACAGAAAACAGCTCCCACAATAGCCTGTTTTCGTTTTTCCATTCAGCGGTCTCAGAGAAACAAACCTGCGTACACCAGCTAAAATAGCAACAGAAAAAATAAATTACAAAAATAAAATATCCAGCTCAGGCCACTGGGTTTTCTTCTTAAGCTTTTATTACCTTGGTGGCTTTTGCATTCTTTCGATGAAAATGGGGTGCTTTACTGATTTGATAGAGAGGAGAAAATCCTCTTTGGATTTTTTTTTAAATCCAATCAGTATTCATCTTTTTTATATTAATCTTTCCTCCCCTCCCCTGCACAACTGTAAAGAACTCTGCCGAATACATGAAAAGTGGCAGCTAATTAGCACATTGACCGCTTCCCAATGGGTATTGGCATGATAAAAAGAGGGAGAGTTTCGCTTTAAGGGAGGGAAAAAAATCCAAAAAGAAACAGAGACTCTAATGAAGCGTGAATGGTAATTGTGTAGTAATGAACTAACAGAAAAAGACTGAGGACAAGCAGCGAAAGCCATATATTACTGGGACAAAAGAGATTTACACTTTCAAACTAAACACAACTGCAGGCCAAGACCACTGGGAGAATACTGATGGCAGAGGCTTCTCTTCTCCGAATCATTTTCATTAAATGGACATGAAAAGCTATTTATAAAGCTCGGGTTGTTTTTGTTTGAGCATTGAGATGAGAGAGAAAGGGAGCAAATTCCATTATCGGCAGCAGCCTGAATGGAAGCGAGGGGGTGGGGGAGTATTCTCTTTCCCTCTTTTAAAAATCAATTGCTTATTTCTTTCGCTGATATTTGGGAGTGCTGTCGTGGTTCTACCCATCCCCCACCGACCATTCCTAGTTTCTCTTCTCTCTATAGGGGCTCCTCTCTCTCATGAGTCTTGACAAGTTGCAGTTTTTGAGCCATAGTTTGGGTCACCACTGGGACTCCAGGATGAAAACTTCGGGGAATCTGTTTAAGGTGTTTCTCATTTAGACTGGGAACCAATTTTCAGCTTCCTTCAGACTTCTTATTTTACCAGCTCAGTGGTCCTTAGGAAAAAATATGGTGGTGGGGGAAGGGTATGAGAAGAAGTTGGGAAATCAGGTTGGTAAAAGGTTAGGGTTGTGGGAGGATCTAGTCTCCCTCCCCCTGGACGACCCAAGGCATCCCACACAAGAGGGCACCCCATGTGGTCTTGTGAAAAGTCCGAAGCCCTGAATGACTCTTAAAGAGAAATTAGCCCCGGCTGGTAGGTGTCTCTGGGCGGCGTGGAGAGGCGAGGGCTGGTCTGTGTGTGGCTGCCCGAAGGAGCTGACCAATTGGTCATGGTGCTGAAACCTTTGTGGGGGAATCGTGGCCAAGTGCACTGACTCTGTGGGAAAACGGCGGCGTGAAGGGATGCCAACAGCTCCTCGCCGGGAAGGGAACCGCCTCAAATTGGGACCATGACAATTCCTGCTAATTTGTAGAGCAGGGAATTGGTGCAAAGTGTCAAGCAGTCACTGCTTGTGCTAAATAGGGCATCAAATTGGCGCGACGGATTCGTGAATGTTGTACGCCTTGCAACCTCTGAACCAGAGCGTAACCCCGAGGGGTGGACAGAGAAATATGACTTAGGGACAGGGAGCGATGGGCTGGTGTTGGGGCGCCACCCAGCCTCGCGAAAGGGAGGGGAATGAGACCTACCTGGGAAATACGAAGATCTGATGAAAGGCTGGAAGGAGCCTTCAAAGTAGGGGAAAGCGAAGGTCTTGGGAGGGACGCTCGAGAGCAAGGCGGGAGATGCTTCTGGAAGAGAGTGAGGGAGCGAAGAGCAAAGGGAATTTGATTACGTTCTTCATTATGGTTCTGCACGTTGAATGCGTAATATGATTAACCCTTCTGCTGATTTCAAAGGCATCTTCCTTAATAAATGGACAGAGTAAAATTAATCTTTCCAAAATCGTCTCATCTGTGGAAATCCTTTCACCCCCAAAATAGTCCTCAGAGTTTCTCCCCTGTCTCCAATCTTATCCTAGGTACTAATGAGATGGAAAGGGCTAGGGCGCTGACGAAAAGAATTGCAGATTTGTAATACTAGCTGAGCTAGTAAATATATTCTTGGGTCAAAAATAATAATAATGAAATGAATGAATGAATGAATGAATGAATGAA